ACAAAAACACATGCTTATTCCATTCACTGGTCATTCTCACTGATAACTTTCTTCAAGTCTTTCTTCAACTCCTACAAGTGTGAATTCTTCTAAACAGTCCCTATCACCATGTAGCTTCAACCCACTTCAAAAATAAAGGTGGTATTACACTAAGCCAAGTTATCATAGAAGCCAGCAGGCAACTTGATCCAAGTAGCAATCATTATCAATATATGGCTGAATTTGTGATGATTTACAAGGGTGTTTTTTTTATTAAAATATAATCATTTATTTACATCACTATTTTTTCACCAAAAGTATTCCTTGCAAGAACATCTATCTCCCAGAAATTTCCTTGAAATTAAGTTCCTCTCAGCTGAGGGGTATGGGAATCCAGATGTGTCTCACCACGGTTCTGAGGTGTGATGTCAGTCATTTATCACCAGTGCGATGTTGTACAGATGTTTGTGAGCTGTTAAAAAAAGACAACTTTGCACTCTTTGAGTATCATCCCCATAACAGAAAAGCCATCCTCACACACCCACCACAGTAGCCTATAGAAGAGTGAATGGAGAGTTGGGCTCCCTCTTCCCATGCTTATGACTGCGGTGTGGGCCTATTCCTAGCACTCTATTAGTGATTTTAACTGACTCCCATTGAGGAACAAGGCAGAGATAACAAAAGGGAACTGTGGAATCTGGGGAGGCGCTTGAACATACACCCCACCTGCCAAAATAAAAATAGACCAAAGCACAAAACAGTCCATGGAAAAGCGGGCCTCCCTCATTATTTTGACAAATACAGCAATTTAAAGGAAAGTATTTTTCCATCCACTTTGTCACTGAAGAACTGCACAAGTCTGGAGTGATTCTGGCGAAAGGTGGTGGCTTTAAACAGTCTGAGAACTACCAGTCTGAAGAAAACTGCATTAAGTAAACTGCCCTCGCTTTGCTAGAAAGCCATACAAAATTGCTTCTAAGTTTGCAACATAAACATTTTTAATTGCAGCAGCTTGTGTCCAGGTCACAAACTTGAATACCAATGATGTTCAAGCAATCAAGGGTCAATGTCTAACAAACATTTAGCGACTCATATAAACTTCAGAATCTTCATGGAAGCACAAAACGTCACCTCTAATTTTTGGTCAGGCATTGCTTGTATTCATTTTTTAAAGAGTTCATTTGACAACACACTAGAGTTGAAGGAAACCCCTATTTGTGGCACTTCCAAGGTGAAAATGAAAAATTCTGATAAAACTCACAGCCTTGAGAAGAATTTCAAGTGGCCTACTGCCTTAGTCTTCTCTTCATTCACTCATGCACTGGAAAGAACTGAAGGACAGATTCTGTGCCTTTTGCTCTGGAGGCTAAATTCTATTCTCAGTGGAGACCTTTACCGGTGGCTTGAATGTTTTCCTGATTGCTGTATCAGTGTGTCCCTGTTTCAGTGCACTGGAGAACTGCAGCACACATCAGATGAACAAGACTGGATGCCTGTTGGCTGCGGGTGTGTGTGTGTGTGTGTGTGTGTGTGTGTGTGTGTGTGTGTGTGTGAGTAAGTGTGTGTGTGTGTGTGTGTGAGTGTGTGCGTGTTTGATTTATGCAAACACAAAAACTTCTGAGTACAACAATCCAAACTGTCTCTGTTCTTTCCCTTTCCTTTCTTTATTCAGCTTGAATAATGTTTGCTTGAGACTCCAGGTCCATCTTATTTTTTAGTGGTCTGTATCATGTGACAGAAAGGACTATATGCCCACAGTCAGGGCACCACTCAAGAGTAACCTGCCTCTCCTGATATACATTATCTTATGGGTGCTTTGTTACTGGCCACGATTTCAGAGTTGGGCCTCATAAAGCTGGCTATGTTAAAACCAAAATAATGTCATTTAGTGTCGGGGGGCGGGGGTTAAGAAGAGGATTAGAGGGAGGCGGGCAGGCAGGGGATATTAAACAAGTCCATGACTAACAGGGTGTGACAGAAAAGAGTTTTACTCTTTTCAACAAAACAATTCCCTACGGCTGGGCCCATTACTTCTCTGTGCCTTTATCACCTTGGAATTTTTATGGTTATTTTTGATGAATTCACATTTTTGTAAAGCCCTTTTTGAAATCATGCCAGTTTTCAATTTTTAATTAAAGTTGTAAATAATCTTAATTCGGCCTTAAAAGCTTTATTGTTTCTTTCTTTTTTTATTATTGAGGCCAGGAAATATTTCAAATACCAAGTCTTGCCGTGAGTGAGCAATTAGAAGCTCTCTAAGGTCTGGTGACAACATCTTACCGTGTAAATATAACACACTGGGGTATCGGCTTGAGATTAAGCAGCGTGGACGGACTGATTTGGGGTTTATCAGCAGCTGCACCTCTTGGGAATGACACTGGCTCTTTTGTTGGATGAAGCAACTTTCATCATTTTGATTTCATGAATTAACCCTCACAGATTTAGAAAAGACTTTTTAGAAAGTAAACACTGTAAATTTGTCACTGAGGGCTGAACAAGGAAAGTCAACCCAATCTGATTCAACCATTTGCACAACACAAGGGGGAGGGGGCCCACATGAGAGAGGAACTACTTCACTTTGCATAAATCAAACTTAAGCAGGAGCTGCAACGTCTGACATGAGCTTACCAGACTGCCAGAGAGCCCTACCTTTGTTACCTAGACTGCCTGCTGAAGGTTGCAAGGGAACAGTAAATACAATCCTATCTTACAGTCTCATAGTCTTTTTTTTAATCAAACTACTCTTCCTTTATATGAGGCCAAAACACATCATTTGTATACAATGAAAGCCATTAACAATCTCTAAAAATGCCTGGTGTGTTCCCACACCTGTGAGAGTCACTACTGTTGTTTCCATAAAGGGTTAATATTCTTTCCTGCCATGGCAGTAGGCTCTGTGACAGTGTTTTCATCTTACTGCTAGTCTTACTTATTAGGGACAACTTACAGGTAGAGAATGATCTAGAATGAAAACCGTCTCTTGTCTAGACGACTGAGCTTTTGCAAAATGAATATAATTTATTCCTTTGAATGTATAAGATACAGATAATGACAGAAGTCAACAGACAATGACCCTGCTAAAGGATCCAATTGTGATTTTACATTATTTTAAGAGGTAGCATTGTTCTTCCAAGTTTATTTGCATTAAAGAAAATCCCTCTGTTTTTCTAACTTCAAGTAATATCCAAACCATGCCAAGTGATTCTGGATAACAATTTATCGGTATTCCAAATTAAGAGATTTAAATATATTTCTAGAGAAAAAAGAAAACACAATTGATTTACAAGATTGGTTTTGTAAGCAGTTAAGTGTATCTGTCAAATCTTTGTAGCTGAGTGTTTTTCTTTCTCCAAATGAAGACTTGGTTAAAGTACTTTCTGTATATCAACCCTCAACTGGCATTCAAGACAGAAGAAAAATGCAGTATCCAATAGACAACCAAACAACAACAACAAAGTACAGAGGATTTTCCAACACCAAATATCAAATCTCCAAAACCTATGAAGAAATGCACAATTTTGACGAGAAGCCAAGTGACCAGAAAACCCTTGCCATAGGGTTCATTCACTTGACATAACTTGAGTCTTAATGTGCCCTTAAATTTGTTATAAAGTCCCCTTAGTCAACTCAGCACAAATGTACCACTAAAAGAGCCAAGTCAGTGCACCATGTTTTTGTCATGGACAGAAGATCATAGTTTTTTCAAACACTTAAAAGCTTGGGTGTTGTACAGAGCTCAGTGGGTGAACTGCTCATGTGAGAGCATAAGGACCAGAGTTCTGTCTGAGGAATAAACCACCTGTGGTGGCATGTGCATGTGTGTGGTGGCATGTGCATGTGTGTGGTGGCATATGTGTGGCATGTGTGTGGTGGCATGGGCTTGTGTGTGGTGGCATATGTGTGGCATGTGTGTGGTGGCATGAGCATTGTGTGGTGGCATATGTGTGGCATGTGTGTGGCATGTGTGTGGTTGCATGTGCATGTGTACTGATAAGCCACCTGTGATGGCATGTGTATGTGTGTGATGGCATGTTCATGTGTGTGGTGGCATGTGCATATGTATTGATAAGCTACCTGTGGTGGGCTGTGCATGTGTGTGGTGGCATGTGCATGTATGTGGTGGAATGTGCATGTGTGTGGTGGTGGCATGTGTATTGATAAGCCACCTGTGATGGCATGTGCATGTATACCAGCAGTCACCTGTGGTGGCATGTACATGTGTGTGGTGGTATGTGCATTTACTACTTGAGAGGTGGACATAAAAGCAAAGTGGACAATTCCTGAGGAAACACCCAAAGCTGATTTCTGGCCTCTACACACAGGTATGCACACACACATGCACCCACCCACACATGAATGTGCACACCATCCATACTCACCACACAGCCCATACAAACTCAGTTATGCAATGACTTGTGATACAGTAAATTCCCTTTCTCTGAAGTTTTGGAAGGCCAGTCTGGCTGGCCAGGCAGACCTGGGACATTTATGTCGAATCTGTAACATTGTCTTCTCTGTAGATTTTGAAATCTACATTAATCTCTCACTAATGTCAAAGTCAATTTAAGTTCAGTATTTTGTGCCCTCCACCCCCTATTTCATACATAGTGCCTATCAACCAGCATTCCTCAAGCCAACCATGGGGAATGCTCTCTTCGAATATGAGAGTCACCCATGTTTTTCATTGGAATTGAAATCACTTGAGCTAGCTGACACTTTTACGAAAAAGTATTTCTCTAGAAAGAGTTTCCAGAAATTTCCATAAAAGATTCTGTTATTAACATTTCCTGAGGTTGGTGGCTGGCATTAATTTTCTCTGCAAGTTTCCCCAAAGTTCTTACATGACTGTATTAGCTGTGCCAACTAAAGCCTTGCTGAGGCCTTGGGCCAAGATGTCCTCCTCACTATCAAGCTTAGGACTTCTTCAAAGCTGGAGATCCCAATGCCCTGCAAAAACTCTGTGACCGCAGGGGTAATTCAAACACACCTTTCCTGGATGGGAACTTCTTTTTGAATTTTACCTTTTTCCTTGCTTGTTGCTCTTTGGAAGAATGCGCCTTCACATGCTTTCTTAGGGAGCTTGGATCTGTGTAGCGTTTTGTACATCCTGGAATTTGACAAGCATAAGGTTTCTGAATGAGAAAAGAGAGAAAGGCAGAGCTGTGGTTAAATCATAAAGGTAACAGGGTTGTGCCTCGTTCAGACTGCTCAGAGCAGGAAGTGGCAACAAATAACAATTATTGAGTGCAGGGTAATACCCATGTATGCTAATTAGGACACCCAGGAATCCTGCATCATGGTAATGAGATGAAGAACCTTTCAAAATGCCCCACAGAGATGCCCTGTCCTCGATTTTTTAAGAGAGTACCTTCATTGCAGTGTAACCATAAAATCTCTTGTAGGATTTTTAACGTAGAAGTTATACTTACAGTTATCTCCCTGAGAAAATCTGTGGTACTGTCAGAACTAGTAAACAGATTCTTTAAAGGCTCAGGTAAAGAAGCTGTAGAAAAGTCCAGAAAGGACTGGGTATGGTTCAGAGGGTACCTGATTCAGAAAGAGGAAAAGAATTAAGAAGGAAACATTAGTATAAAGTGAGCAAGAAATGGTAGGTCTCAAACAACAGACACACAAAAATTCAGCCAGAAGAACAGTAGTATTAGTCACAGAGAATCCAAGGCTGGGTGACATGAATGACCCCTCAGAGGAGGGTCAATGGTGCAAATTTGCTCGTTCCGATCCCCTGAGCAGCAGACAGACAGGGAGCATAGGGAGGTGTCTGGTATGTCCCCAAGGGCTTGGCAACCAAGGTAGACATATGTGCATGACCTAGGTGGGAGGGTAAGAACAACTCAAATCCATTTGGACCTCAACATGGCATCATCACCTATTACTGACTTATCAAGGGTTTGGAGACAACTGACTTTGGCTGCAAGGTGAATCAAATCTGCTGTTAACAACAACAACAAAAACAGAAGTAATTGAACAGTAATTGTATGAGAAATGAGACCTGGTCCTTTGTGATGAAATAAGAGAAAGATCTGAAATCGTCTCTCGATGGTAAGAGTCTTCTCTGAAGGCTGCTAGGCTATGGACAAGAGCACACCATGGCTATTCGTACTCTGCCATGTTTATGTTTTCATGTGTGGATCATTTACTGAGTGAATGTGCACTTTCTTATTTGCTGGCTGGGAACAATATTTGGAACTCTGCTATTTTGTTTTTTATCCCAAAGGTAAGAGAGAATCATGGTATATCATTTCCTTGAAATGCCCGATTTGAATATTGGGTTTGATTACTCATTGACTAATCTTGATTTACTTTTGATTGATTAATTGAATATCCTAAGATTATGCTTCTAGAATGTGTTGGGCACTGTATTAAATTCTAAGTATCTCTAATAATAAATGATGGATGAAGAGGAACCAGGCCCTTACGCCCCCCCCCCTTTTAATGAGCAAGTATTACCTAAAGGCACTTGTTAAGAGGTTCCCATGGGGGAACAAAAATTTTGCTTTCACCTGGGAATCTTTTCTGAGTTCACCCGGCCTTCCTGAACTAGCTTTCCCTACTCTGCCTTCACCTCAGAGGACCAAGTAGCCAATATCCACCCTTCAGTATGAGCACCACACTTGAGTCCTTGAGTATGCTCTAGGAATCTACTGTAACTGAGGTAGGAATGTCATTTGACATTTGACTTAAATTACTCTTGGAGAAAGCTTAATACACGCCAGTCCTCCCAGCTGGCCTTGAGGCCACCCCTGTGTATGGCACTTGAGGCCAAGATGCCCAGTCAGCCGTCAGACTCTGATGTGGACCACTGCACTATCCTGTCATTTTATCACTGATTACCCACGCTTCAAGAGGCATGTTATACAGTCTCAAAAGAGGTATTTCATGATTCTCCAGATGTCCTGAATAATTACTTCTCTTATTTAGATTTAAGATGTTAATAGAAATGTATTAACAAAATTTTCCCGGTTGTTACAATGACCTCAATAATCTTTGTGAGAAAACCATTTTCCTGAGTAAAGAATCTGTTTAGTTGAAAAAGATGCCTTTACACAAAAATCCTGCCAACTTTTGTACAAGGAGTGATTAATGGAAAGTTATACATTCTTCAAACAGCTACAGTTTGCTTTGGAAAACAAGCATTTAATTTCTATATGTATATATGCTCTTAAAAGAGTTTACCAATTTGTTAAAGGAAGTAAATATTTGAATAGGAGACAGTTTGGATCTTACGGAAAAGTGATAATTTTAACAGGTATAATAGAGAAAAACTCTTATACAAGATAAAAATGACCAAGTTTTGAGAGATGTTGTACTGAATTCAAATCATAAAATCATTATCTTAGACATCTTTATTTAAAAATTTTAAAGGACTACGCATGTTTAATGCTGAAATTACTTTATAAAATGATTTATGTGATTAGGTAAAATTGGTGCCAAAGAAGGGTATCGTTGAAAAACAGCACATTTTCTCAAGCATGGCATTAGAACTACAGAGATCCAGTTGATGGAAGGATTTTTCAAGACAATCTTGTTTTATGAATGGTCACACTTCCATGATGAGGTTTAATGACAAACTGGAAAATATACTGGATCAGACCAAGACCATTTCAGATACAACAAAATAGGATATTAAATATAATTTATTCTTGTTTTTCTATGTTAAAAAATTTCAGCACTTTTCATATATTTATGTAATATTCTATTCTATTGGCCCTGAACAAATCAAGGAATCCACTATCGCTAAAGCAGTAAAAGTTTATCCTTTGCCCATATTGTGTTAACTATGTTTCAGGTATTTACCAGAGAAATCATCACATCTATGCATATTAAGAGATAATTCTGTTTAGAAAGGTTATATGACATTCATAGCTAAAATGACTTCTACAAATATGACTAATAGAGACTAATATAAAATGTAATAAATATGTCAACTATAACATCAGGAGAATCTTAAATATGTATGAGAAGGTGTGTAGAAATAACAGTATCTTTTTGAAATTCAGGCTCTGGTGTAGTTTAATAATAGACATCAGAATGTTAACACTGAGAAAGTACTGTCATGAATACATTATTTGCAAGAACGTGGGATAAAAGATCCATGATGTGTATAATGCATTTATCCCAACGGCTTTGTCAAGTGAACTGAAATTACACAGCATCTACCTGGCCTCCTATAAAGCAAATGGCATCAAAACTTGAGAAGGCAAAGAAGTGCTATCTACATAATGGGGGAAATAAAAGACAAAAGTTACATAGAAATAGCATTTGCAAGGAGCAAAATGTAGCAGCATTAAGGGAGTTAAGGGTGTGAAAATAAAAACTCAATTGTTCTCATAAGGTTTATATAAAAGGACTGTGGCTGCTAACACAGAAAAATCATGCATGAAATGAACTCTGGGAAAGATCTGCTCTGTCTTTTTAGATCAATTGCAGGTTGAGACTAACAGATGGTTTCTAAAGCAAAAGACCAGATTCACGCTCAACACTGTCCTGGCTGAAAAGTTAGGTCAAGAGGATAAGAACCAGGGTCAACACAAACACTGTACATCATGTTCCTCCCAATTGCATACATTGTCTAGTTTGGGATAGCCTGATACATTCATAATCACTTTAGTTATCTCTAGTGGCCATTCTGTGTGCCATCAGCTACCGCATGATAGTCCTCGAACTACTTCTGCTTCCTACAGAGAAGGGACTAAAGACGCCCTCGGTCCCAGAATAAATAAAAATTAAAACTGAAGCCGCCACACAGGGCATCACTGTGGGTACTTCCGTGTGCTGTCCTGTGCTTGACACTGCCCCCCCCTGTGGCCTACAGACCATAAAGCAAACACCTCCACCATCCCACCATCAGAGGGGCCCTTTGGCACACACAGCTGAGGTTGGAAGGTGGCAAGCCTCTGCCATCCTTACAGTGTCAAGGTGTGTCCTCTGGTGCTTGGCACGGTCGCTGGAGTTGCTGAAAGCCTTCTGGCAGCCCGGGTGCTGACACAGGTATGGTTTCTCACCCGTGTGGCTCCGCAAGTGAATCTTGAGGTTCTCGAGCCTTGAAAAGGCCTTCTTGCAACCTTCAAACTGTAAAAAGAAAACAAGTTGTAGTTATTGAGAAGAGCCTCAAATGCCTGAGATGAGGGAAGAAAAACAACCATTAGTCTGTACTTAGCTAACAGTAAGATGAAATTAAATCCAAACAGTAGCAAATACTGCTTCTAAAAATACCCATATGTTTATGTGAATTGCATCTTTCCCACAGCATATACATGCCACATTCCATACCAGATTTTGGTTCCAAACTGATTTCTGTGATTACTTATGTCAGAGAAAATTCACTGTGAGCCATCTGGCTCAATCAATAGAAACATAGTAATGTGTATCTTAAAGGTTTATTAAAAAATTAACACACTTTTCTATTTCCAAATTGGTCTGCATTGAAGGAGCTGGGAAGGAAGAAACTTTCATCAGCTAAGAATCTACTAAGAGAAATTAAGAGTGGCACATGAAAGAAAGAGAAGACAGGAAAGTTCTAAGAACACAGGATGAAGAAAGCATGTATGCACTACTGTACTGAGATATCCACCCTGCCTGCACCTGTAGCACTGACCACGCCCATTTGGGCATAGTCACAGGTGTGGGACATGACTAAGGGTGATGCTCTCTTGGTCACTGAGAGTAGGGTCCAGACCCCAGTATGCTCTCTTGGTCACTGAGAGTAGGCTGGGTGTGGAACTTTGGAGCAGGAACTTGCTGGTCATCGGTTTCTCGTGTAAGTGACTTCTCCCCAAATAAAATTAATAACATTTTAAACCTAGTCCCTTGTATCTTAATCCATGCATCAGCACCTAAGGGCACACTACATCAAGTCAATCAGACACATCTTTAAATATCTGCCCAGGTTTTTCAACTTTCAACTTCCAAATGAGTGGCCAACATTAACGGGCAGGGTGATGGCAAGCTGAGTAAGTTTTCAAAATGCTTTTTAAAGGGAACTAGGAGACAGAGAATTCACTTAGTACTAAATCAGTCCAAGTAACTATTATTATTATTTATTATTATAGAAATTTCACTACCTAGATATGAATAAGAGAAAGATAAAAGGTTGATGATTTTTAAATGCATGTTTGTAGTTTGTTAATAACACATATTGAGAGTAGCATTAACTTAATATCTTCTGTAGGCAAATTACCAGTTACTATTATAGGGCCACAATCAGGCTAACATTTAAAGTGACAGTAATGAAATGTGTTGGGGAAAGCCTGAAAGTAAATGAGAAAGGTGAGATGAAGAAACCTTTGGCGCAAAGCCCTAGAAAAGTTATGTGAATTTAATGCATTTAATTCCATTAAAGTTCTCATTGGTAAGTCAAGTTAGGGATATGGGAAACAAACAAAAAAGATTGCTTAGAGTGATTAAGAACTCTGAAGTGTGTGTGTGTGTGTGTGTGTGTGTGTGTGTGTGTTTTGGTTTTTTGTTTTTGTTTTTTAAGGAATACAGTGGGAACAGGACAGACACGTAAGGAGGGTAAGAAAAGGACTGTTTCCATTCAAAATTAAGGGACATTATTTAGACATGTTACAAGGACCTCATAAACTGCCTCGGTTTTCTCACTGACTACAACAGATGGTGTAGGACACTGGTTGTGAAGGTTCCCATCGTTGGCAATGTAATCCCTAAGGAAAAGCTGAACTAAGTAGAAAGAATAGTTGACTATGTCACAACTTCATCTATTTAAGTTGATCGCATTCTGCATGCTGGAGTATTTTAAGAAATTTATGAAAGTTGCACTTATTTTTGATTGAGAGTTATACATGTCTCACAGACATATGTTGGTTTATTTCAATTTTGATATTTTGCTTAAAATAATTTTTGGTGTTTTCCTGATTTCTATTTCACATAAAAAAATAAATTTAGCCTGAACGAAGGAAGAACGCTGACAAAGCTGGCGACTCTGTCACAGCCAAGTGTGTATAATGCCACACTGCGGGGGGAGGGGGGTTCTGGAACTTATGGGGCCTTATTTCTGCAAATTTTCAAGTATATCCCAAGTTTAAGGATCAAAGAGTTCCAATTTAACTCCTAATTCATAGCTAAAAGGTCTCTGCCAAGCAAATGTGTGCTTTTAAGGTTACTTCTGAACTAAGACTCGGAATAGAGCCCTGGAGCCCAGTTTATTTTGCTTGGAATTACCTGGTCCAGCACACTTAGGTCTGAAATGAGCCTGTGGTTTTGGATGTGCTGAGCCTGTAGCCTCTTTCTTAGCAAGGCTCTATTGTAGCACAGATGTCATTCTGGGGCTAGTTCCAGTAGCACATACCTGAAATGGGTGTGGCACCATCTCTTGCACCTTCTACAGTCACCTCAAATCTTAAGGAGAAAGCTGCATTGTTTCTGGTACCCATGTGAGCATGGGAGAACAGTGATAGCATGGATAACAAGGTTTCTATGAGTACCTGATACAGAAGAAACTTCCCCTGCTTCTACCATAAAATGGGAAACCCAGCTATGTGCGTGGATGATTCAGATTGTCCATGAGATCACATATAAGGCATATGCAGCTAGCCAATTCCTCATTCTTTCTATTCAATGCCCATTTAAATGTCTGCTTGGAATTAGAATGTAAATTATTCCTATTTACAAACCAATAATAACAACAATAAAAGAAAGGTCTGACATTCCAATTTCCATTGAGGAGGAGAATACCCTAACCACATAAAGTATCAAGGCTGAAGGACAACATGGGCATCCAGATAGAATAACACAGCAAGAAGATAATCTGTAAAATAATGAAAATGTAGCTGACATCAGATGTTCCCTCTACAACAAGAATGGCCTGAGGACGGAGAGAAACAAGGTAGTATCTCCAGGGAAAACAATTAAAGACAGAGGATGTGACCTCCCTGAAATGTGTGAGTAAAGGCAGTCATTAGGAAGCAGTAGCTCCCGATAGACACCAACTACTCACTCTTGCTGAAAAACCTCACTGGAAGAATCTACGGACAGATCCAGGTAGGTCCTCACAGCCTGGCAGATGGCTTTGTAAGGGGGAGTGGGGGCTAACACCAAATAGGTCAGAGTCACCTGAATGGACTTGTCAGGAGTTTCTATGAGAGGAAGGAGGTGCCATTTGCTCCTCTAATGGCATCTGGATGGACTTGCAAGCAAACAATTTTATAATGAAGTGTTATCATCCATTATGGGACTAACCCTGTAATTCAGCACAAGAATTTCCTCTCTGGGGGGCAGTTTCACCCCTACATTCGCAGGCTCGGTTGAAGAAAAATGCTTTAAAAATAAACTAAATTTAGGCAGGCTTACAAAAAAAAGTATAATTAATAAAAACAATCTCAAATAGCTAAAACTGGATTCTTGGAGCATTTCGGCAAATGGATGCCTTTTAATTCTCTTAGATTTTTTTCCATGACTTTTATTTAGCTATTGAAGGTGTTGAGTCTTGTGGAAGAACAGCTGAATATAGGGAGGTCAGGGTGATTAAGACTATTTCCTGAGTTTGAGTCACACGTTTTCTCAGTATGGTTCTCACAATTCAAGATACACCCAGAGAGCTATGATAGGCACTGCCAACTGGTTGATCTTTATCCCTGCTGTGGTTCAGTGCTTCATCTCGGGTCCCTCCTTCCTGGATTGGCTATGAAGCCATGCATCCAAAGGCTGGTAACCCACAAATGAATTACAAGTCCTGGCTTATCGTTAACTCAAAAAACGGATACAATACAGGGAGATGAGAGATAACCAAACCACAGTCAAGCTTAAGATGAAGGAATAAAATAAGATTTTAAGGAAGAGGATAGAAACACAATGCATAGGGCAATAATAATGGGGTTAGGACAATAGACATGGGATCTGGTGCTCACTGAGTATTTCATGTTAAATATCGTATCCTTGCTATTTATTTGATATAAATGGTATCTTCTCTCTGAACAAACCCTATGAGCATGCTCCACTGTCAGCTTCTAGGAGGCAAAAATGAATAAAACTCAATGCTTCCTCATGCAAAGATAATGGAAGGCAAAACAGTATGTACAGCTGGGCGGGTTGCACACTAGTAGACCCTGATCAATGGTACTCAGGGTCTACTAGTGTGCAATTCCTACACCAGCATCAGTATCCTCAGAGAACTTGCCAGAAGCATGGATTCTCTGATCTTACCCCAGAACCCAATCTCTAGGAGTAGCGCCCATCTGTATAAGTGGGAAGCAGTGCTCTAGGGGATACTGTCTATGCTATGATCATCCTCCCATCTCCTTGTGCAAATCACATAACCGAGGAAAGTGCTTTGCAGAGCTCACCATTTCTACCTCAGCCTGTCATCTGAACCTGTATAGCACCATCTATCCTATGACTTAAAAGAGGTGTCACCACTCCAGGGTATGGAGGGTAGTTGCCATTCACAAAGCAACTGAGACAAAACTCCCAGAATGCCAACCTCTCACTAGAGATTCTTTAAACTCACAACTTCCAAACATGCTACCAGGTAGTTATCTGGTTCTAAACTAGGTGCCCACCAGCTCTAACCAGTGCCATCTGGCCAGTTAGCCATTACAGTCTCCTTTTGAGAGAAAGCACTGGGTGGGAGCCATACTTTCCATTTGCACATTTCAATGGAATGGCAGGCATGTAGGAGAACAGCGCATGAAACTCTCAGAGACAGAACTTTAAATCTCACGGGCCTTAAAAATTCTTCATGGCAAGAAAACTCACTCTAAGAAAAATCTCTTCAATGCTGGTTTTAAACAGCAAACTTTAATTAGACATTTTCAAGCTCCCTCAAACCAAAAGAACCTTTGCTTGCACCACTTTGCTAATTTAGAAAATTATTTCATATTTAAAGAATCAGACTGGACTGCAATCATCATCAATATATATTGGCTTGATTACAGATTGTTGACATTCAGCAACATTCAGATGACCTTTGAAATATTACTTTCTCTTTCTATTAGATGCTTTTGTGTAAGGTTATAGAAATGAAAGGCTCATTAGACAACATTAAAATGGGATTTATTCCATATGTGTAAACCAATAATCAAGTTGAATATTATCCCCTCCTCTAATCAGCTACT